GAATCTTGCAAATCAGTGTTACAGACAGTTTTCACTTTTGCCAGGCGAACAGTGTGAAGATCGTTCACTGTTTCCTCTTCATAAAGATTTTGACAGACGATCCCCAGCCGAGCCTCAAGAAAGCCCAAAATTTGAACAAGGCCAAAACACCTGCCAAGTCAAGGAGAAGAATGAAGGAAGTTCAAATGAAGAACCACCCCTCAAAGTGTTGCATAAAGTCATCATCACTCCTGTGGCTGATCTTCTGAAAGGATCCGAGATAATTGTCGTCCCTGATAGTTCGTTATCCAGAGTTCCATTTTCTGCGTTGATGAACGAGAGAGGAGAATTTTTGGCAGAAAAGTTCAAGATTCGGTACACCCCATCTTTGACGACTCTCAAGCTGATCCAGGACAGTCCTGCAGATTATCACAGTGGAAGTGGTGTTCTTATAGTCGGCGATCCTGATGTTGGTACTGTCACGCACCAGGGAAGTGAGTTAACATTTAGTCCATTACCGTGTGCTAGAAAAGAAGTTGAAATGATTGGAAAGATTCTTCACGTTCAACCCTTAACTGGTAAAGAAGCTACCAAGGAAGCGGTACTACAGAAGATACACTCTGTAAGTCTCATTCACATTGCTGCACATGGTGAACCAAAGAGAGGTCATATTGCATTAGCTCCATCCAACCGAGAGAAGAATGACTTTCTGTTGACAATGGCCGACATCTCCGCAGTCAGATTGCGAGCCAAACTGGTCGTACTCATTTGCTGTCACAGTGGAAAAGGACATATAAGAGCTGAGGGAGTTGTTGGCATCGCTCGAGCCTTCTTAGGATCCGGCGCTCGTTCGGTGTTGGCGTCTCTCTGGGCTGTGGACGACGAAGCAACAATGGAGTTCATGAAGCAATTCTACCAGCACTTGGTGAATGGAAAGAGTGCGAGTGAATCTCTTCATGAAAGCATGAAATGGATGAGAGAGAACCCAGACTACTCGGAAGTGAGAAAATGGGCACCATTCGTGTTGATTGGAGATGATGTGTCATTCCGATTCGCCAAATGAGTGGAATTCCCGGGATGTAAGTACGATGCAGTGATACAAAATTTAGTAAAAAAAATAATAACGCAATTTAGAAGCATGTCTGGCACACCGCATCATGAGACGAAGCAAGCGTGTTTTTCAGTGACGGAATCAGCTTACAATTTTTTTTTGTTTTGTTTAACAGGGAGAGACAATTCTTCATAACTGGAGGAGAAAGTAACAGGTGTCTTAACACAATAAATTGTGAACGATGTCGCTATTATGAAGGGACTCTGGGGGAAAATACAAGTGCAGCTAACGCCTTCATTCCATTGAACTGTTAATTTTGCAGTGTCAAATTACTTCGAGTCCTTCATTTTATTCCTCAGTGAAGAATCTCAGTAGTATGCTCAGAGGTGCGAGGACGAAGACAGCTTTAAAGAAATGCACTTTGAGTGAAAAAAGAAGACGATTAAGAAGATAGTTTGACATAAACTACGGTATCATACGAGAATTTCCAGCCCCGAGAAAAGCAGTAAAAACACACGTTAAAAAAATTACGATTAATTTTGTTTCTTTTACGCCAATCAGCTGCTGAGACGTCACTCGCCTTTTGCGCCACCCGGTCAGGTTGATAAATTAATAGCAAACCTTTACTCTTCGCGATCCATAGTTCTGTGCCGAAGTTTTCTCAGATTATGGCTGCTATAACACTGCAAAATCCGTATCACTTAAAGAAAATGACGTTCAAAATTTCCCTGAAGGGAAAGTTGAGTAATCAGCGGCTTTGGTGACGGCATTTCTCGCGGCTGAAACGAAAATTGACAACTGGAAGAGTTGCCATAGGTCGATTTTGTCGCTGAGGGAAAATTCATATTCTGACAATTTTGTAACTTGAGTGTTACTTCCATTGTTTGTTTTTGTAATAATTCAAGTAATTTTTTCATCTTGAGCCGTATTGCTAACGTACTTTACGATTTTTCGGAGACTTTGGATCCTATTTTTTTCACTCGTTAATTAAGTCGGCTATTTTGTCCGTAAAGGGCTATTCTGTTTATACACTAAACAAATTAATACATAGGCGTGCTTAGGTATGAAATTTCTCTTCAAGTGTTCAACTCGATGGCTCACGAGTGAGCGCAGCTCGAGTCGAACATTTCAAGAGAAATTCTATATCTACGCGCGCCCATGTATTATGTTCTACAAAACGTTGTCATTAAGTGAATGTGAATTGAAATACTGATTTGAAAAGCTTTATTTCTTTAAAATGTGACTGTCATGATTAATATTCCTTAACTCCTCCTTGTGTGTCAAACAAAAAAGTAAATTTTTTTAATTACCTGATTAAATTATTTAAGTTATCTGATTGTTCATCTTCAAAAACTAAAACTTTAAAAATCGCGATGAAATGAAAAACACAGGCTTAAATTGTAATCCAAGTAAATCATCCCAATCCTTAACATCCTGGTGCTCCTTAATCTATTTTTAGATTTAATCCCAAGAAGTCACTCCTATAATCTTCTACAGGGACACAAACAAACAAGTTTCATTTACTCTCTGGGTATCCTACCATAACATTGGGGTTGTAGCTTTCACTGACATAGTGTACCAATCAGGAATACCTCAGTCAAGAAGAAAATTAACTGTAAAAGGTAATCATATATTTCATCAAAATATTATGGGTCAGCGCAAGATTTCATTTGTATCATTTGATCTCAAACGTGATGGCTTCAGTTCCTCTGCTATCGAAATCTTAACCCTTTAACTCCTATGAGTGATTAGCATCCTATTTCTCCTTACTCTAGCACTGCTGAATCATACACTAAGGTGATGAGAACAACCAAAATGAACACCAACTTAAGAAGCTCTTGATTGTCAGAAAAATTCTCCTTGTGAGCACCTCAGGAAATGTGTTGAAAACAGAATGGAGAATATACATACTGAATTTAGGGTGTAAAGGGTTAAACCAGTACGTCAAGCAGGAAATTAAAAGAGGCTGTGTTGAACTAAGCCTTAACTGATTACATAGTTGGTCCTTTCTTGATTATCAAAATTCAGAAAATGAACTTAAACTTTCACAGAATGTTACTTCTGTGCAAGGAAACCTCCAACCTCCTCTAATTTATCAAATTAGTACAACAATTACTTGTCAAGATACCCTAAAAATCCCTTGTAGCTTAGTGCAGTAACAAGCTCATGTGAATTAACATAAACCCTTTAGGGTGAAAATTTATAATTTTAAAGTGAGGAGGGTAACTGCTTCATAAGGGGCAGCAGAGACTTACTTATGCCTTTACACCACTTATTGAACCCAAATTTTTTTACATGCAAGAGGAAGAGAGAGAGACCTTTCTACATTTACTAGGTAGTTCTCAAAGTTGACTTTTATGGTTGTACAAGTACCATCTAACTGGATTAATCCTTTACCCTCTCCTGGATAACTCTAGTGGTAATCATTACCAAAACACAAAATTTTATTTGCAAAAGGTGTGATTTTGCAGTCCCCCTTCTGTATCCTTTTTGTTCTCTCTGAGATATATACCCCAACGTCATCTAGTTTCAGGTAGCCCACAAGTCATCTGAAGCCTTCAGTCCATTCACCATATGTCCAATACATAGGATATTCTACCTGGAAACATAAAATAAGATTTAGGACTTGGCAAATTTTAAATGATATTTTAGGCAAAGAGCTTTTATCATGATATAACTAATACTCTGAGTCAAGTCAGAGTCACTTGACTCTGATGATGACTTCTGCTAAGGTTGTGGAAATACCAGACACAAACCACTGACAACAGCTCTTCTTGGGACTACCCTCACCCAGACAATCAAATAATATGATCAAATGTTACCCATGGTTTCAAACCCATTCCTGTATAAAACTATGATAACTGAAAGGGAAACAGCTCTTAAGAAGATACCCATTGGACTTGTGATTTAAACCTTTAAGCCCTGATATTAGCATGCATATTCTCAATTCTGTTCTCTACAATTTCCTAAGATACTGACAAGGAGAATTTGTGTAGCAATCCAGAGGTTCTTTAGTTGCTGATTATTTCTTTTATTCTTGCGACTTAATGTGTAATTCACAGAAGATATTAACCCTTCAACTCCCAGAACAAATTTGTAATTCTCCTTACTGTCAACCATACAATTCTTATAATGTTAGTTCAGAGAATTTAGTATTGCATCGCCTTATTATCCCCCAATTTATTTTTTCTCATCACTTATCTGGTTGATGTTGTTCTGATATTGTAAGGAGAAATTCTGTCTTAGTCATTCAAGGGAGTTAAAGGGTTAAAGAGATGTGAGGAAAAACTAGGCACTACTGTCTCTCAGGGGATGAAAAAATTATTACAGGTTTGTCCAACATTAGGTTAAAGAGGAAAAATTTGCTAATTTAAGTATAGTGTATAGTGTACCCAATACAGGATAACTACTTTCATTGAAGTAAAATGGTCATAGTAGATGCCCATTGTGTTGTACTCTTGAAATCTGCATCAAAATCCTGATGAGAGTTATCAAAGACAAAAGTACTAGACATTCTTTGTTGTTATTAAGTGTTTTTCAGTAGAACTGATGGGAGATTTAAGAAAGGGAGGGTGCCTATTTTTTCTTTTCATTATAAAACACATATAAAACACAATTCCTCTATTTACCATGACAAGGGATTACCCCTTAAAACATCAGCTTTAAAACCTCTTTACAGTGGCCAATGTTATTGTCATTATCAAATCAGTTAGTAAAACCAGATTATCTTGTTATACCTCCTACTGACACAGCACCACAGTTTCTTGAAAATTTACACCTTATTTCATTTTCCTATTTCATATTTTGGTTGGCAGTGCTCATTTGAGGGGAAGTGTTAATTGAATGATTTAATTAGTTTTAATTATGAAACTTACAGATATCACTCTGTAACCAAGACTTGAGAGAGTAAGAATTTGCAGCAGGTAAACAGGCAAGGGGACACCGTACATGACAAGAGCCTGTGTCATATATCAACCACTCTTTTTCATCATCATTATCAACAACAATCTGTAAATGAAAAAAGAAACTATACTACTCATCAAAGTTATTATTAGCAGTGTTGAATAATGAAGAGTGGTTCCCTTGAACTTTTGATTTTTCAAAGAAGAACCATACATGTATTCACACAACTGCAGATTGACCAGGAAAATTGGGTGCTATGCTTGAGAAGTTGTTGTATAGATTCACTTGAATGTTCAAAATTGAGAAAAGTTAAAAAAAAACAAACAAAAACAGCCACCAATTTTAATTGAAAATAAATTAATTTCATTTCTTCTCTTGTAAAAAAGAAACCCAAATTTACTTCAACCCACAACATTAATGAAATAAATGGGAGATTGGAAGGTTTGTTCTGTACAAAGTAGACAAAAAAAACCAAGAGAGAAGACATCTACATTGGATAAAGAAAGTCAAGACTGGGAACCTACAGAGAGGAAATTTCCCATTATAATGGAAGGTTTGATAGGGAAGATTAGAAAATTGATTTTTTTTAAGTTGAAGAAGACATCCCTTGTACAATAAACCCTTTAACTCTTAACATCTGACTGTCAATTCTACCCCTGGCCACTACACATTTCCTTGTAAAATTGGTTGCAAGAATTTGGTGTTCAATTAAGGTAATAAATTGTACCTGATGAGTTTGAGTATTCTCACGACCTGTTTGCTTTATAATGTATGGATACTGTAGGAAGAAGTTACATGGTTATCACTTCTGGGAGTTAAAGGGTTAAATCAAGTAAAATGTACCTAGCACAAGTAGGGAGTAGTAATCTATGCAAAATAATAAGCCAACTGAAGTAGTCTATGATGCAAATAATTGTTTAGTTCTGCTCTATACAGTGAAGCTTAGGGTTAGGGTTAGGGTTAGGGTTAGCTTAGGGTTTAGGGTTAGGGTTAGGGTTTAGCAATGCATGTGAGACCTCGAGTGATCAGAGTTGGACCGATCATGCTGGCGCGAGCATTGCACGAGAAATGTGCAAGATCCAATAACAGATTAATAACGCGTATTTGAATCGTTGAAACGTTACATTTTGAAATTCAATATTCTGAGAAATAAACTTCGTGAAAATAGTATGGATGTGTACAGCTTTTTTTAACTTACCCGTCTCAAAGGGACAGAACTACGAAAGCTTATGTAGCCACCATCTTGATGAGAGGGACTTGATTCCAGAGCTCCTGAGTGTTTTTTTTGGGTGAAGAAGCGAGTGAAACAATCGAATTTGTCCAACCTAAGGCTTAAGGAAAAATTCTGTACAAAACTCCTTCATGGATCCTCAGTAAATGAAGTTCCAGAGGCACCTGAGCGACTCACCGTGTTGACTATGGACTGGGACTAATGAAAATGAAAGTTCACGAAAATCGTACTAAAGAAGGTTTTTCATTTTTTTTTTGTTTTTTTTTTTTTTGAGGACAATTCTTGGTCTTCCGTTTAAAAGCTGCGTGTTCTTTACTTAAATAAAAATAGAGAAGCAGGAAAACAAAATAACAAGTAAGATAAATTTCCAAGTCGTGTACAGATCACGATACAACTTTAGGAAGCTTACATGACATATATATCGAAATCGCTGCATACGCATTTGTTGGCTATATCCGGCTTTGCTAAACTCAAAGCTTCGAGGTAAGTGAGGTTTTACTAACTCTAGCATTGTACTTTACGTGGATAGAGCGTTGCTAAAACTTTGATGGAGAAACTTATGGAGTCGTAGAAAAGCTACTCCAGGCTCTTTTTATCGGCATCTCACTCGCGTCAGTTTTACTACAAACATGTCGACACGGAAAGGCTATCGAGTTGTTTACTGAATGCTTGGAGTTTCTGAATAAGCACGCTTCGAGTTTGGAAGCCGAAACATTAAAACGCCTCTCAGCACTGGTCTACTGCAAATTATCTCAGACTTATTTCCATATCGGAGACTCCAAGAATTGCTTTGAAAACAGAGAGAAGGCAAGCGCTCTGTAGCCCCAGATGGGTGGCGGGGAAAGTTCAGCTGAATGTTTCGCCAAACGTCGTGATGAGCACGTGCCTAAGACCTATGACTCTCCAGATAATGAGGAGGACCAAGAAATCGATGAAGATCCATTATCAGCCAGGAATTATAGAAACAAAATTAAGGAAGTAGGTGAACTTGACAGGCTCAGTCATTTAGCTCTATCTCGTTTCGAATACCCCGAACCCAGACGCCTTGCAGAGAGATTAGCTGAGCTGTGTGGTGAGCTTGGGGACAGGGAGAAGGAGAAAACTGCATTTTTTTAATCTCGGCGAGCTACATAAGTCACTTGAGGAATATGATCAGGCACAAACATACTTTGAAAAGGCCTTGATTATAGCGGAGGAAGACGGGGACATCTACAGGCAAGGGGTGGCCATTGGCAAACTTGGGACTTTATGTAACATTCGCGGTGACTATATTAAAGCAAAATGCTTGCATAAGAGGGCGCTCGAAATAAGCGTGAAAATCGGTGACAAGAAAGGAGAAATCATTGATTGCAGAGCTCTCTCTGGTGTTCTGCTCAATCTCGGTTAATTCAAAGAGGCTCTAGACTGTTGCCGAAAGGCACTCAATCTCAGTGAAGAAATTGGTGACAGAAACGAAGAGGCCTCAGCATACAGTGATCTAGGTGATGTTCATAGAAAGTTGAAAGACTTCGAAAAGGCAGAGCACTGCTACAAGAGAGCGATAGAAATATATCAAGAAACTGGTGACTTGGAAAGTGAAGAAAGTGAAAACATTTGACTTGGAGATCTTTATCGTTTTCTTTGTGAGTATGACCTTGCACTTAAAAGCCATGAGCGAAGTCTTATCTTAAAGAAGCAAATGGGTAATAAACGGGGAGAAGCTAAGCAATACTGCAACCTTGGAGCTGTTTATAAAGATCTCGGAGATTACCACATGGCTAAGGAGTGCTGCGAACAGGCGCTTACCATCAGCAGAGAAGAAAATCACGTAAAGGGGCAAGCGATTGACTACGGCAATCTAGGAACTATCTACCAGCATTTTGGTGATTACAAAACGGCGTACGAACTCCACCGAAAAGCACTAGAGATTAAAACTCAAATTGATTTTCAAGAAGGAATGCCTGCAGATTACCTTAATCTTGGTCATTGCTGTAAGCATCTTGGTGAGTACGCTAAAGCGAAGGAGTTTTGGCGTTTAGGACTTGATATCGTTAGGACTGTTGGCGACAGTCTGAATGAATCAAATATAATCGCGAGTTTGGCAGATGTGGAGCACACAATTGGCGAGTATGAAAGCGCAAACGCTCATTATCAACAAGCACTTCATATCAGCCAAGAGGCTAGAGACATCAAGCAACAGGCATCTCTGACCTGCAATCTTGCCGGACTACTTGCTTAGTCTCAAGGTGATGAAGATAAAGCCAAGGCAGAGCTTGAAAGATGGTTGCAAACACTGAAACGAATTGGAGATAAAGATGGAGAGAGCACTGCTTTAGCAAACCTTGGAATTCTCTATACTTCACTAGGTAAACATCGTGAGGCGATAGAATACAACGAACAGGCTCTTGACATTGCAGAAGAAATTATTGACAAAAATGGGGAAATGGTTATCAACAACAACTTAGGACAACTTTACTTGTATCAAAAAGAATTTAAGAAAGCATCTGATTGTTTTAGAACTGCACTTTCAATCTCTCAAACGTCAAAAGACTTAATAGGAGAAAGTCGTGCTTACTGCAATATAGCGTTGCTGTGTTTAGCAAGAAACGATGTACCAAAAGCTTTCTGGGCTCTAATATAAAGCTGCTTGAAAAAATGTCGGTCATACATGGAGAAAGCGAAACTTTTCAGATTGGCTTTGCAGACCGGCACAATGATCCTTATCGATTAATGGTTGTTGTCCTGCTTAAATTAGGAAATATTGATCAAGCGTTGTCAGTGTCGGAGCTTGGACGTGCAAGATCATTGGCTCAGCGAATGGAAACTCGCTACTCCGCGAAACCTTTACCTAGTTTTGATCCTTTTCAATGGATTGACCCAAAAGACGCATACTCCATCATTAACGACTCTTAAGTTGATCCACGACAGTCCTGCAGATTATCACAGTGAAAGCGGTGTTCTCTTAGTTGGCGACCCTGCTGTTAGTACTGTCACGCACCAGGGACGTGAGTTAACACTTAAGTCATTACCGTATGCGAAAAAAGAAGTTGAGATGATTGGAAATATTCTTAATGTTCAACCCTTAACTGGTAAAGTAGCTACCAAGGAAGCGGTACTACAGAAGATACACTCTGTAAGTCTCATTCACATTGCTGCACATGGTGAACCAGAGAGAGGTCATATTGCATTAGCTCCATCCAACCGAAAGAAGAATGACTTTCTGTTGACAATGGCCGACATCTCCGCAGTCAGATTGCGAGCCAAACTGGTCGTACTCAGTTGCTGTCACAGTGGAAAAGGACATATCAAAGCTGAGGGAGTTGTTGGCATAGCTCGAGCCTTCTTAGGATCTGGCGCTCGCTCAGTGTTAGCGTCTCTTTGGGAAGTGGACGACGATGTAACAATGGCGTTCATGGAGCAATTCTACCAGCACTTGGTGAATGGAAAGAGTTCGAGTGAATCTCTTCATGAAAGTATGAAATGGATGAGAGAGAACCCAGACTACTCGGAAGTGAGAAAATGGGCACCATTCGTGTTGATTGGAGATGATGTGTCATTCCATTTCGCCAAATGAATGTAAGTCCCGGGATGTGAGTACGATGCAGTGATACAAAATTAAGTAAAAAAAAATAGTAACGCAATTTAGAAGAATGCCTGGACCACTGCAACATCTGACGAAGCGAGTGTGTTTTCCAGTGACGGAATTAGCTTACAGTTTTGTTTTATTTGTTTCACAGAGAGAGAGAGAGAGTGCTTCATAACTGGAAGAGAAAGTACAGGGTGTCTCAACACAATAAACTGTGAACAATGTTGCTGTTATGAAGGGACTCTAAGAAATACAAACTCAGCTGATACCATCATTTCATTGGACTTTTAATTCTATAGTGTTTTATTATTATGAGTTTTACAAGAAGTGTCCTTCATTTGAGAAAATCTCAGTAGTATGATATGCTCAGAGGTGCGAGGACGAAGGCAGCCTCGAAGAAGACGAAAAAGAAGACGAATAAGAAATTTATTTATCACATAAACTGCGGTATTATAGAAAGATTTCCAGCCCTGAGCTGTAACAACACACATTAATAAAATTACAATAATTTTTTACTTTTACGCCAATCAGCTGCTGACACGTGAGTCGCGGTCAGGTTGATAAATGAATGGCAAAGCCTTCACTTTTCTCGATCCATGGTTGTTTGTCCTAATTTTCTCGGATTATGGCTGCTAAAACACTGAAAAATCTGTATCGCTTATAGACAATGACGTTCAAAATTTCCAAGAAGGGGAAAGTTAAGTAATCAATGGCATTGGTCATGGCAATTCTTGCGGCTGAAAACGAAAATCGACAACTGGAAGATTTGCCACAAGCCGAATTTGTCGCTGAGGAAAAAGTTATTAACCGACAATTTTAGAAATTGAATGTTACTACAATTTATTTTTGTAATGATTTAAGGAATTTCTCTTGTCTTAAGCCTTATCACCAACACGCTTTGCGATTTTTCGGAGACCGTGGATCCTATTTTTTCATTCGTTAATAAAGTCGACTTTCTTGTCCATAAAGGGCCATTCTGTTTATGTAATAAACAAATTAATACATGGGCGTGCATAAATATGAAATTTCTCTTCGAATGTTTAACTCGATAGCTCACTTGTTCGCTGCTCTCACTCTTGAGCTATCGAGTCGAACACGACGAGAAATTCCATATCTAAACGTGCTCATGTACTATTCTCTACAAAAAATTGTAAGTAGGTGAGTGTGAATTAAAATACTGATTTGAAAAACATAATTTCTTTTAAATGCGACTGCCATGATTAATCAACTTCATCTGTCAAACAAAAAAAAGTAAGTTTAAAATCATTTGATTGTCCATCATCAAAAACTAAAACTTAAAAAATTGTGATGAAATGAAAAGCATATACATAAATTGTAATCCGAGTTAATAATCCCAATCATAAACCATTCTGTCGCTCCTTAATCTATTCTTAGCTTTAATCCCAAGAAGTCACTCCTATAATCTTATACAGGGACACAAAGAAACAATTTTAATCTACCCTCGGGGTATTCTACCATAACATTGGGGTTGAAGCTTTCACTGACATATTGTAACAATCGTGAATACCTTAGTTGAGAGGAAAACTAACTTTAAAAGGTAATCAGATATTTCATCACGATGTTATGGGTCAGCGCAAGATTTTATTTGTATCATTTGATCTCAATTGCTATGGCTTCAGTGCCTCTGCTGTCGAAATCTTGAACCTTTAACTCCTATGAGTGATTAGCATCCTATTTCTCCTTACTCTAGCACTGCTTAATCATACAGTAAGGTTACGAGAACAGAAGAAACGATCACCAACTTTAAGAAGCTCTTGATTGTCAGAAAAATTCTCCTTGTCAGTACCATAGGAAATGTTTAGAAAACAGTATGGAGAATATACATACTGATGTTAGGGTGTAAAGGGTTAAACTACTAAGTCAAACAAGAAATGAAAAGAGGCCGTGTTGAGCTAAGCCTTAACTGATTACATAGTTGGTCCTTTCTTGATTATCAAAGTTAGGAAAAGTAACTGAAACTTTCACAGAACGTTACAAATGATGTAGACATTGTGACACGAGGAAAAATATGTTTTCATTTCTGGTGAAGACATTCACTGGATGATGACACAAGGCAACCCGATTCATTACCCCTATATCCTCAAACGTGAAATATGATGGCGGCGATTTCAAGAAATGTTTGAAAATTAAGTAAAAAATATTGAGGTAGGAAACAACAGTGATAGTTCGCCTTTGCATCGACAGACTCAACGAGATTTATTTCCTCTAACACAATGAAAAAATAATAGTGTGTGAGTCAGATATTATTATAAGCGTGAATTAAGACAACCTCATGAATACTTCTTCTCTCCTTCACGGCGTGGTGTCTAAAATTTATAAAGTTCATGTAGCAGATTTTTTTTTCTGATTTTTCTCATGCTAAAGATTGCTTCTGGTTCGCAAAAACTAATGCTCTCGAGAGTAAAGGTATAACTGAGCATAAACGAAAACTCTCTTTATATTATTTATTCTCTAAGCCGTTCATTTATGTTAACCCTTTAACCGTTAAGAATGACAAGCATCTCATCTCTCCCTACAGTATCGCCCCTAAATCGAACGTCAAGGTCATGAGAATAAAGGAAATGATCACCAACCAAAGAAGCTCTTGATTGTTAAACAAATTCTCCTTGTCAGCACCTAATAGAATGTAAAGAGAACAGTATGAAGAATATACATAATGATGTTATAGTTTGAAAAAGTTCAATTAGTCAAACTAAAATCCCGTATTTTGAAAACGTGACTTCGCGGCCCGGTGACAGGATTTGCGACAGTTTGAAGTAGCAATTTTAACCTTCTTTTTAATTAAATTTGTTAACATACCTTAATTCAAGAAGGGAAATTCCTGAACAGGCCTATCAGCCATGTTGAATGGCTCAGTATTATCTGGAAATGCGCAAAACTCATTAACATGTTTTAGATGAGGAGAGATACTTCTCACTTAGGTTGTTCAAAGGAAACAAAACGTCGAGATCTTTACCGATGTAAAATATTCATCTTACGGGGCTGGTCTAGAATAAATATCTAAAAAACAACACATTGCAAACAAGGTATGTACCTGGTATTGTCTACTTCTATAACAGAAGTGTGTCTTTCTTAACAGACTTGAAACACCTTACTATACACGATTTAATCACAAATATTTGTATTCATTTAATTTAAGGTGGTTTCAATGGAGGTTCCCGAGGATAAGAGCATCTACTCTACCTATGGCGAGGGTATCCCAACGAGTGCTGTAAGAACTTTTGTATGACCTTACAGGCAGCCTTAAGAAAGTAAACGAGGCGCAGCGAAAGCTCTTTTCAAAGAGGTCCAGAAGCTTAGACAGCATCCCTCCCTCTAGAGCCTCAATTGAGCAGCACGTCAAAAGAGCAGTGTTCCAAGGAAGCGACGTATGGGGTATTATGATAAATGTCAAAGAGGATAGTCACTCTATGACATAAGATGAATACGAATGGATAGAAAAGGATTTGGTGGTTACGTTTGAAAGCTTTTGTCGCAAATTTTCCTAAGCAATGTCGTTTAAGAGGATGTTTTTATTCTTAGCCTCGTTTCCATGTTGGCGAATTTCTGACATACATGGTTCTCGTCTCCGGAAGTAAAATTGGATTGGCCCTATATCAGAAAATGTTAGTCTCAGAGGTGTTATGGTAAAGATTCATGCTTTTATCGTCAATTTGAACAATTTAGGTCGATAATCGCTAAACTATAAGGCTTCAAGGTAAGTGAGGTTTTACTAACTCTCGCACTGTACTTAACTTAGATAGAGCGTTGATAACACCTTGAAAAGTTTAAAAAAAATTGGCCTGATATCGATGCAGTGGTGAACCTTTAATTTCTTTAAGTGGTAAAAATCTTGACAGAGAGTAAGCCTATAATACCCAAGCGCAGACAACAACATCAACTGTAAACGTTAAATAAACGCTGGAAGCTCGCAACATTCGTTTGAAGTCAGTTTCAATAAACACAGAGCGCAGAGCTTATGCAAAACTCGCAGTTCGGTTAAAATCGTGACGTGTCCATCTATCTAAAATCGTATCTGATCGTGTGAATTGCAATAAGTATATATTTTTGACTGCCGGACACGGAATAACTTCAAAAACCTGTCAGGCTGCCGGACATCACGACATAGCGTTAATTAATTTGAATTGTTTATCCTCAGTAAGGCGAGGTATTCAGCCAGATATGGTTAACTACTTTAACACGAATACGCGAAACCATTCGCCTACATCACGAAACCTTGCAGGGAAGTAGATCGTTCTGTCTTTTTTCTATACTTTTACTTAATAGCGTGGAACTGCTCGTAAATTATTTTTGTCTATGAAAGCATTGATTTTCATGGATTTGAACCATGCTGCTACAAATCAATTCAGTGGCAAAGGATCATTATCTGATTTAATTCCATGCATAACTTGAACTTTCGCGAGCTTTCTTAGTCGACTTTGCATATAACATGTTCAGTTATTCGTAAAACTACATAAGAGGGTTTCTCTTATGTAATAAATCTAGAAATAGATAACTCGCTAAAATGCGTTCGTTTCAACATAGTAAGTGGTCAGATAACAAGCGATGCATTGTGGAAATAAAGTGGGGTATTTATTTCTAGTAAGAATTTGACTTATTTTTTCATTCCCAAGAGAGGTCGTAAATATTCCCATACAAACTCTTATAATTTCACCGTGACTCTTATTTCGCTAGATGATCATCTCACAGCTGGAGCTTGAGCCGCCTGTGAGCTTATAAGACTAAAACAATTCAGATAATTAGGAATAATTTAGTTTCCATAACCTTGGACTTTTTATTACTGTCCATCGGTTTGGATACAAATTGAGTTGGTGAAGATAATTTTATTATCCAAAAATGATTAACGTTCTATTAAATTTCTTTTACAAATAAGTTGATGTCATATTTGTTTTAATGTGGATTCCTTAGCTTCATTCATTCAATTTTTATTCGTTTTTAACAGATTGGTTGCTGAACAGTGAATCAGTGAAACAAGCACTTATGGAGAACGCAGAGAAGATACTCCAGGCTCTTTTTATCGGCATCTCTCTCGCGTCGGTTTTGCTACAAACATGTCGATACAGAAAGGCTATCGAGGTGTTTACTGAATGCTTGGAGTTTCTAAATCACCACGCTTCAAAGTAAGAGGCCAAAATATTAAAGTACCACTTAGTAATTGTCTACAACAGATTATCTCAGATTTATTTCCATATTGGAGACTCCAAGAATGGCTTTGAAAACAGAGAAAAGGCAAGCGCTCTATATCCGCAGATGGGTGGCAGTGAAAGTTCAGCTAAATGTTTCGCCAAATCTTGTAATGAGCAAGTGTCTAAGACCTATAACTCTCCAGATAATGAGGAGGACCAAGACATTAATGAAGATCCATTATCAGCCAGGAATTATAGAGACAAGATTAAGGAAGCAGGTGAACTTGACATACACAGTAATTTAGCTCTTTCTCGTTTCGAATGCTCCGAAGCCACTCTTAGTGAGGAAATTGGTGACAGAAACGAAGGGGCCTCTGCATACAGTGATCTCGGTGATGTTTACAGAAAGTTGAAAGACTTTGAAATGGCAGAGCACTGCTACAAGAGAGCGATAGAAATATATCAAGAAACTGGTGACTTGGAAAGTGAAGAAAGTGAACACAGTCGACTCGGAGATCTTTACAGTTTTCTATGTAAGTATGACCTTGCACTTAAAAGCCATGAGCGAAGTCTTATCTTAACGAAGCAAATGGGTAATAAAAGGGGAGAAGATACGAAATACTGCAATCTTGGAGCTGTTTATAAAGATCTCGGAGATTACCTCATGGCTAAGGAATGCTGCGAACAGGCGCTTGCCATCAGCACAGAAGAAAATCACATAAGGGGGCAAGCCATTGACTACGGCAATCTAGGAACTATCCACCTGCATTTTGGTGAATACAAAACGGCTTACGAACTCCACCAAAAAGCACTAGACATGAAAATTAAAATTGATTTCAAAGAAGGAATGCCTGCTGATTACCTTCATCTTGGTCATTGCTGTAAGCATCTTGGTGAGTATGCAAAAGCGAAGGAGTTTTGGCGTTTAGGACTTGATATCGCTAGGACTATTGGCGACAGTCTGAATGAATCAAATATAATCGCTAGTTTGGCAGATGTGGAGCACACAATTGGCGAGTATGAAAGCGCAAAGGCCTATTATGAACAAGCGCTTCAAATCAGCCGAGAGGCTAGTGATCTCAAGCAACAGGCATCTCTGACCTGCAACCTTGCCGGACTACTTGCTCAGTCTCAAGGTGACGCAGATAAAGCCAAGGCAGATCTTGAAAGATCCTTACAAACACTGAAACGAATTGGAGATAAATATGGAGAGAGCACTGCTTTAGCAAATCTTGGAATTCTTTATACTTCACTAGGTAAAAATCGCAAGGCGATCGAATACAACGAACAGGCTCTTGACATTGCAAAGGAAATTATTGACAAAAATGGGGAAATGGTCATCAACCACAACTTGGGACAGCTTTACATGTGTCAAAAAGAGTTTAAGAAAGCATCCGATTGTTTTAGTACTGCACTTTCAATTTCTCAAACGTCAAAAGACTTAATAGGAGAAAGCCGTGCCTTTTGCAATATAGCAATGCTGTCTTTGGCAAGAAACGATATACCAAAAGCTTTCTCGGCACTCTCAGCAAGCATAAAGCTGCTTGAAAAAGCGTCGGTCATACATGGAGAAAGAGAATCTTTTCAGATTAGCTTTGCACACGAGCACAATGATCCTTATCGATTAATGGTTGTTGTCCTGCTTAAACTAGGAAATATTGATCAAGCTTTGTCCGTGTCGGAGCTTGGACGTGCAAGATCATTGGCTCAGCGAATGGAGACTCAATATTCCGCGAAACCTTTACCTGGTTTTGATCCTTTTCAATGGATAGATCATAAAAACGTTGTCCGGAAACGATCCTACACATGCCTGTCATTTTGTTTTTATGCCGGATATGTTTTTTACTGGATTTTAAAGGGTAACATGAAGACAACTTGCAAAGAGATGTCAGCGAGACAATGGCTTTCAGCAGACAGTCAGCCTCAACACGACTCCTTTCAAGACAAGTTGAAGGACCTGGCGTATAAGTGCGACAGAGAGTTTTCACTTTTGCCAGGAGAACGATGCGAAGATCGCTATTTGGTCCTTGATGATAATCATTCTGTGGCTAGATCTCCAACCAAATCTGAAGGAAGCCCGGAGCCTCATCAAAGTCTCAACGCTTGCAAAGTCGAGGAGAAGAATGAAGGTGGATCGGAAGAAGAACCGCCCCTCAAAGTGTTGTATAAAGTCACCATAGCTCCTGTGGCTGGTCTTCTGGAAGGATCTGATGAGATAGTTGTTGTCCCTGATCGTTCACTATACAGAGTTCCATTTTCTGCATTGATGAACGAGAAAGGAAAATTTCTGGCAGAAAGGTTCAGGATTCGGTATACTCCATCATTGACGACTCTCAAGCTGATCCAAGACAGTCCTGTAGATTATCACAGTGAAAGTGGTGTTCTCCTAATTGGCGATCCTGATGTTGGTACTGTCACGCACCAGGGACGTGAATTGACATTTGACCCATTACCATGTGCTAGAAAAGAAGTTGAGATGATTGGAAATATTCTTAACGTTCAACCCTTAACTGGTAAAGAAGCTGCCAAGGAAGCGGTACTACAGAAGATACACTCTGTAAGTCTCATTCACATTGCTGCACATGGTGAACCAGAGAGAGGTCATATTGCATTAGCTCCATCCAACCGTGAGAGGGATGACTTTCTGTTGACAATGGCCGACATCTCCGCAGTCAGATTGCGAGCCAAACTGGTTGGTACTCAGTTGCTGTCACAGTGGTAAAGGAAACATCAAAGCTGAGGGAGTTGTTGGCATAGCTCGAGCCTTCTTAGGATCTGGCGCTCGTTCGGTGTTGGCGTCTCTCTGGGCTGTGGACGACGAAGCAACAATGGAGTTCATGAAGCAATTTTACCAGCACTTAGTGAATGGAAAGAGTGCGAGTGAATCTCTTCATGAAAGTATGAAATGGATGAGAGAGAACCCAGACTACTCGGAAGTGAGAAAATGGGCACCATTCGTGTTGATTGGAGATGATGTGACACTCCAATTCGCCAAGTGAATGTAAGTTCCGGGATGTAAATACGATGCTGTGATACAAAATTAAGTAAAAAATATAATAACGCAATTTAGAAGCATGTCTGGCACACTGCAACATGTGACGAAGCAAGCGTGTTTTTCAGTGACGGAATCAGCTTACAATTTTTTTTAAGTGTGAGAGAGAATTCTTCATAACTGGGGGAGAAAGTACCAGGTGTCTCAACACAATAAACTGTGAAAGATGTCGCTGTTATGAAGGGACTCTGAGAGGAAATACAAGTTCGACTAATACCTTTATTTCATTAGACTTTTAATTTTGAAGTGTTTAATCATTATGAGTTTTACTAGACGTGTCCTTCATTTGAGAAAATCTCAGTAGTATGCTCAGAGATACGAGGACGGAGACAGCTTCAATGAAAATGCACTTTGAGTTGAAAAAGAAGACGAATAAGAAATTAATTTATTACTTAAACTGTGGTATTATTCAAGGATTTCCAGCCCTGAAAAAAGGCGTAGCAACACACGTCAAAAAAATTACAATTATAGTTTTACTTTTTCGCCAATCATCTGTTGACACGTCACTCGCCTTTAGCGGTCAGGTTGATAAATAAATGGCATAGCCTTCACTCTTCTCGATCCATTGTTGTTTATCCAAATTTTCTCGGATTATGGCTGCTAAAACACTGAAAAATCTGTATCGCTTATAGACAATGACGTTCAAAGTTTCCCGAAAGGGGAAAGTTAAAATAATCAGTGGCTTTGGAAGTGGCATTTCTCGCGGCTGAAAACGAAACTCGACAACTGGAAGATTTTGTAGCTGAGGAATAAGTCATTAACTGACAATTTTGTAAATTGAATATTAGTTTGACTGTTTGTTTTTTTAATGATTCACGGAATTTTTCTTATCTTGAGCCTTATCGCCAACGCATTTTACAATTTCTCGGAGATTTTGGATTCCATTTTTTCTATTCTTTAATTAAGTCGACTTTCTTGTCCGTAAAGGGCTATTCTGGTTATGCAGTAAACAAATTAATACATGGGCATGCGTAGAGATGAAATTTCTCTTCGAGTGTTTAACTCAACAACTTACAAGTGAGTGCATGCAGCTCACTCGTGAGCTATCGAGTCGAACACTTGAACAGAAATTCCATATCTACGCGAGCCCATGTAAGATTCTTTACAAAACATTGTAAATAGGTGATTGTGAATTAAAATACTTATTTGAAAAGCTTAGTTTCTTTAAAATGCGACTGTCATGATTAATAAACCTTGTGTGTCAAACAAAAAAAAGAACTTCAAAAGTATTTCATTGTTCATCTTAAAACACTAAAAATTAATAATTGTGATGAAATGAAAACCATAGGCTTAAATTGTAATCCGAGTTAATCATCCCAATCCTTAACAATCCTGTCGCTCCTTAATCTATTCTTAGCTTTAATCCCAAGAAGTCACTCCTTTAATCTTCTACAGGGACACAAACAAACAATTTTCATTTACTCTCAGGGTATCCTACCATGACATCGGGGTTGATGTATTCACTGACATACTGTAACAATCGTGAATACCCCAGTGGAGAGGAAAATTAACTTTAAAAGGTAATCAGATATTTCATCGAAATGTTATGGGTCAGCGCAAGATTTCATTTGTATCATTTGATCGCAAATGCGATGGCTTCAGTTCCTCTGATGTCTAAAATCTTAATCCTTTCATCCCTATGAGTGATTAGCATCCTATTTCTCCCTACACTAGCACTGTTGAATCATACAGTAAGGTTATGAGAACAGAAGAAATGATCACCAACTTAAGAAGCTCTTGATTGTCAGAAAAATTATCCTTATCAGCACCTTAGGAAATGTTTAGAAAACAGTGTGGAGAAATATACATACTGATGTTAGGGTGTAAAGGGTTAAACCAATACGTCAAGCAGGAAATTAAAAGAGGCTGTGTTGAACTAAGCCTTAACTGATTACATAGTTGGTCCTTTCTTGATTATCAAAATTAGGAAAAGGAACTGAAACTTTCACAGAACGTTACAAATGATATAGACGTTGTGACACGATGAAAAATATATTTTCATTTCTACTGAAGATTTTCAATGGATGATGACACCAGGCAACCCGACCCATTCCCCCTTTATCCTCGGACATGAAATATGATGGCGGCGAATTCAAGAAATGCTTGAAAATTCAGTAGAAAATATGGAGGTAGGATGGATACAACAGTGATAGTTCGCCTTTGCATCGACAGACTCAACGAGATTTATTTCCTCTAACACAATGGAAAAATAATGGTGTGTGGGTCAGAGATATTTTGATAAGCGTGAATTAAGACGACCTCAAGGATACTTTTTCTTTCTTTTAACGTTTTAGTTAGTTGTGTAGGAATTTTATAATTTAGATGAACCTTATAAATTTTTGACACAACACCACAGAGAACTTAAGCTCAGAATTTTCCTCTTCATGGGATGTTGTCTAAAATTTATAACTTTTCATGCAGCAGATTTATCTTCTGATTTTTCTCATGCTGAGGGTTGCTTCTGGTTCGCAGGAACTAATGCTCTCGAAAGTTAAGGCATAACCGAGCATAATTAAACGAAAATTCTTTCTATATTCTATGTTCTCTGAGCCGCTAATTTCTGTTAACTCTTAAACCGTTAAGGATGACAAGCATCTCATCTCTCACTACAGTATCGCCCCAAAATCAAACATTAAGGTCATGAGAATAAAGGAAATGATCACCAACCAAAGAAGCTCTTGATTGTTAAACAAATTCTCCTTATCAGCACCTAAGAGAATGTAAAGAGAACAGTATGAAGAATATACATTTATATAATAAGCTCGGTTATGCACGCATTCTGATTGGTTCTCACTTATGATCTATTGGAGGACAAACGTATAGATATCGTCATCATTAAAACTTTTTTCCGTATATTTTAATTCTTTATTATATAATACAAATAGATTACAAGTTGCAGTGCGTCTGTTCAGTAATAGAATCACAAAGGGCGTCAAAATGTGGTAAGAACATCAGTGACAGCGGCTGCGCCTCGTGTGCCACTTTTTTGTTCTCACCACATTTTGACGTCATCTGTGATCTATTACTGAACAGACGCACGGCAACTTGGAATTTATTTGTTAAATTGATGTTGTAGTTTGAAAAGGTGCAATCAGTCAGACGAAAAACCCCAGATTTTGAAAACGTGACTTCGTGGCCCGGTGACAGGATATGACGAACGCTTCATTGAAATATTTGCGACAGTTTGAAGTAGCAATTTTAAACTTTTCTTTTATTCAGTTCAACAACCACTCATGTTAACATAGTTTAATTCAAGGAGGGAATTCGAGATACTTGAATAGACCTATCACCCATGTTCAATGGCTCAGTGTTATCAGGAAATGCGCAAAACTCACTGAGATTTACCAGACGAGGAGAAGAAACTTCTCACCTAGGTGGTTCAAAGCGGAAAAAATGACGAGATATTTACCTATGCAAGATAGTCATCTTATGGGGCTGGTCCTGAATAAATATTTAAAACAACGCCGTCGCACTAAGATCAGGGAGGAAATTTATTTTCATATTGATTTCCTTACAACTATCATTAAGTGAGAAGCACTGAGTTTTTTTAAAGTATCAAAAAAACTTGATTGATGTCTCTTTTAGGGAGTTAAATTCAAAGTCACACAAAGACGATTGTAATATTTCATTCTCTTTCGGGAGCTCCTTCAATTTATGCTAGAAACTTGAAAATACGACTATTTTCTTAAGACGTTTTTTATTGAGTGCGGATTACTGTGTTTTTTCTACGTGCCTTTGCTTGCAACGTATATAAAACTTATTGTTCTTGTCCAACATCTTTAACATCATAAACAATGAGAGGTGTAGTAAATTAAACCCATTCAGAATTAGTAAAGAAATGACGCAAAGAAGCTTGTTGAACCCAAGCCATATTGCCAATTGTGTAACTGGCAATATTAGAGACATACCTTGAATTGTTTTCTTTATAAATAACTAAATCTGCTGCCAAAGAGTGAAATATAACTCGACTAAGTAATAGAGATCAAAGTGTATGTGGCGATAACTGAGGTACGTATTGATATTTTCAATAACAAAATGGAAATTTGTCCTTTCAGTCGCTCGCCAATGAAGCGGTGTGTGTAATTAGCACCAATCAACTTTTGTGTCTAAATTCAACTGACTCGTATGCATTCACACGTTTTTATCCACGGTTCAAGAACTTTGCTTTCATGACACACGTGAACTCGATATAAGCCACCTCGAGGGTAAGATTACGGAATTCGGAAACATTCAACATTTTATAAAGTTCACATTTAAATTCTGTCGTCAGCTAACCACTTCATTTGTAATTACATAGCTCAGAGTAGCCTTTGTTGAGTTATAGGAACATTTAGAGAGCAAACCTCGAGAGTTAAGACAATGGCTTCGAATGGCAGCGATGTCGTAAACACAGCGCTGAACGGCGAGGGTAGTGATGTAACAGGAGAACTAGAGAAATTACGCAACGGAGGTAAGTTTCATGCATTCGAATCTCCTTGTTAATGATGCAGGGATAGTAATAAATCAAAAAGTATGCTGACTTTTGATTTCCCATTGTAGCTTTTCTGGCCAAATTAAAACGACTAACGCAAATGCACGATTGTGCAGTAGACAGTCAAATATTTGTTGTAACTTATTAGAATCCATAGATACTGACGGCTATTGCGGGGCTGTTCTGACGGCGCCACAGTTTGAGGTGACAACAAATCAGTAAACCATAACCTTAGAATTCACTACATGATCGATGACTGATTATTTATTTAAATATTTCCATTTGCGTGTTTGATACTTTGTCGATTTGACAAACTTGAGTGAATCTCACGAACATAGTGCCTCGTCTCTCTATTGCTTATCATTCACCTCTCAACCACCCATTCACTGACCTGCAGCGATCGAAATTCAGTTTGACCTTCTCCAGCATTTGATCAATATTTGCTTACAAAGGCTACACGTATCTTTGCTTTATTACTTGTAAAGATATTTGCATAGCTCTATTTTGTCGTTCACGCACGCACGTCTTGTCCTCCGCGTGTTCTCCACGAACACGCGATCGCCCTGCGCGTTCGCCCGCGTAACTGGTGGATTTTCACATAAAAATCGCGTACATTTGTCTTAATTTGTTGGAAGAAACTAGAAAAATAGGATATTTTCGCTTCATTTTCGGGGCGGAGCTTCTATTTAATTGTCAAATTTTAGGACTGAATACCGAACCACGGATCAAATTGTGGAATTAGCGACACGAACAACAAGACTTTTGCACCTCTACCACGCGCGAGTCTCTCTTTATCTCTACTATTACTGCTGTTATCATCATGATTATTATCATGATTATTATTATAATTGCCATCATAAAATAACAATAATTATCATTATCTTATGATTATCATTATTGATATTCATATTTTGACAGTCGTTCATTTATCGCTTCACGAGTTGACGAGCTCCCTGTTGGCTGGTTAGCTCAATTGGAAGAACACTGCACCGGTATCGCTGAGGTCATGGGTTCAACTCCCGTAAATGCCTTAATTTTTTCAGGCTGAACTTTTGTTACTGCTTAAGCAGTACTCATAACAGCAATGGTCACTCTCATCTTCTTTATTTTTCTTATCGAGGAACTGAAATAACATCGCGTGCGATATCAATGTTACCTTCAGTGTATACGTGTAGTAGGCTACAATACCACACCTACTATTAACATCTATACTACAATATTTTCACAATTGGCTGATACGATACCTACGTGTTTTACAACTTGTTTTTACAATTTTAACGTAATTTCTTCCATTAAACCTGTGGTTAGGTTGAGGCTATTCGATATGAATAATTACAGTACAGAACTGACACACTCATTACAATTACCGAGCCAAAGCTATCTTTTGCATGCATTCAGCGTCAACTTTTTTTCCTTTTTTTATGAAAAAATGTGTTTCCAAATAATTTATTGTCAAGTTAGCGTAAGTGGCTGGAATGATACCTACGCGATCTGAATTGAACGTGTTCCATGACCAACAAACCACACTATAAGAAAAACGTATTCAACATTTACTGATTTCTTTTAGTTACTGAAGTAATAACGGCAAAAGAAAGTAATTGATCGAACAGTCATTCACTCACTTCTGAGAAAAAAATCCGGTGCTTAAAATTTTCTCCCTTCATTAAGTAGATATTAGCTAACGCAATCAAGTAATGACTTCCCTTAGACTTTCCAGGTATATTTATAGCTCAAACGGAAATAGGAAACGAAATTGTTGACTGGGTCTCTTCGAGATAATATGAACAGTTTAAATTCTCTTGGTCGCTTGCAAGAGAAAAGGTGGATGATTGTCCAAAAAGTAGGATTGATGAAAAGTAATTATACGCCCTGAAGTCTTAAGTTGTGTTCGTATGTCTCCCTTTCAAGGTCTTGACTTCGCTCGACGACGATTTATTTCTGATCGAGTCTCGGCTATTAATATCCAGGGAGCTTATCGTATGCAGAATTGACTCAGAATCAAGGTAACCCACCGATCTTAGATCACCTAGGTCTTGTTGTTCAAAGCGCAGCTAACACTTTCCAACGGATCAATCGCTATTCAGCAGATAAGTGTTGACAAACCATTGGGTGGAGATTTTATCATAGGGTAGCGTCATTCGCCCTTCGAACAACCGGGGCCTGCTGGCTAGAAGGCAGATGATAGCAGCAAACTGTAGGTGAATATTTCGTGCTTGAGGGTGGACTACCTCCGATGGACTGGGATCCTTTTCAGTCCTATCCAATACTCCTAAAGTATGCCACAGAAACCAAGATAAGCTTTGGTGCAGTAAATCACTCCTCGAAAACCTTAGATTTGGCGCGTTTTCGTTTTCTTTTTGATTTTCTGTAGCGTTGTCCAGCTGAAAAGGGGAACAGGCAGCCCAAGCTCCAGCTGTGAGATTATCATATTGCGAAATAACAGTCATGACGAAAATGTAAGAGTTTGTACGGGAATATTTACGACAGCTCTTGGGAAGTAAAAATACAGTCAAATCTCAATCGACCCAGGATAAGTTATTTAGTTCCACCACCGTGAGCAGACTTTGAATCATTTGCGGTCTCTCTGTTTTCTTTATTAACGGCTATTTTGTCTCATTAGGTAAATGAATATCTATCCATCGGTTAAATAACTCGTTAATCGTAACCTCAGCCTAACTGTGATAACTTAAAATTAAACAAGGTGTGTTTGACTCTTACCGCATAATTTTTGTCACTTTTTTCTGTTTGTCTGACAACATTTTGTCTTTCCCAAGGGAGTAGATAAATAAAAGAGCAATCTTAATGACAAAGAAAATCCAAAAAAATCCAAGAAAATTTGATGAAAATAAGAGATTATTCGCAGAGGACCGCATTAACTTCTTGTTTCTTACTTTTTTCTTTTTCTGGGTACGATTTATTTATTTTTCAAATGGTAACCTGAAAATTCATATTCTTGGTATTTCAATTCTCACAGATTTCAACCTTTTATAGGCAAGATCATATATTATTTTCTCTCGTGTATAACTGTTATTCGGTGACTGATGTCATCCAGAAAATATGAAGCACCATTTTCGTACCATGAGTTGATCATTCGACGTTTCACATGTCTCTTGTTATTAAATCTGATAGATAGCATGACTGTATACAGCTCACAATTAGAGAATTTGCCCGCGGCTATATTTTGCGGAGGAACTACCCTATCTGAGCCGTACGGGGTCTTTAGAACTTCATTTCCGTCAAAAGAAATTGCGGATCAGTTGAGCCTCACGCGGCAAAAGGCCTTTTGCCTTGTTTTAATAGTAATCGACTGTTGGTCATAACCACCAAACACTAAAGCTGATGGCCTTTTCAACACCGCGCCCCGCAGCCATCATATAAAATTTGTCCTCGATTCTTTTCGGTACTGATATTTTGATTTTTTTTAACTAAGTTGAGGCACTAAAGAAGGCTTCTTGGCACATCCCTTGATGGCAGGAAACAATCTAGAAAAAAACCACACTCAACTTTCATCTGGCCACTACATCTGGACCTCGTGCAGTGGGCGTGGCCTTTGAACATCATGTTTCATGCACTACACGAGTCGTTTCCTTAGTTAGTAAGTGTTGAGTAATCCTTGACAGTAGCACTCCTTGTTCTTCCTCTTGCAACGATCGTAACCCAGGTCACCATTCGAAAAATAAATAAAATCATCTGAAAATTTCTTTACCTAGGTATTTCATTTCTCAAAGATTTCAATCGTATGATTTTTACTCGGCGGCTGAGGTCATGGGTCGAGTCATCGTATTAAACCTAGATAACTCTTGTTCGCAGGATTTTCCATGTTTCTTTAGAAACGTACATTTACAGTGTACGTTAAAACAAGAAATTCCCAGCCCACCCTCCAACAAACAAACAAACAAATGAAGGAACTACGGAAAGAATAACAAACAAACAAACAAACTTAATAAATATCAATTCATTCTACCGCACCGTGTGCGCTGTTTAAGTAGTTTTCGCTTACAACTTCCGTTTTCCGGCTGTAGGCGCAATTTTTCCCTCTGTGGTATCCCCGGTCCTCCCTGGGGGAACTAACATGAATCTCGAAATTTCCTCAGTTTATCAATTTGCAGAGTACAGCTCTCAATGCGTGCAAAGCTTTGTTCCGATTCGTTTGTCGATGTAATTTGTTTTGACAAGGAATACTAAGTCCAAAATCGCTCGCTTTTCTGCATTACAAAGAATTTTAAGTAAGTAGATTTATGTGTTAATACTCTTTGAGTTTCAAACATTTTTGGCTAACGATGAAAAGCTTTAGTAATCGCTATTTTTTACAATATGACCGCGTTCAGATGGCTCAGACTTTAGACTTCAGACTGCTTTCTTCACATCCACCATGACAAGTGCGTGATTATTTTCAATATAACTCTGACATAAAATGTGAACCGATCAAAATCCAGGCACAGGTACATAGCCTGCGTAATTTTTTATTGCAACCAGAACCAACAATTTGAACAAAGGCTTTCTTGCCTTCTTTGATATTTTTGTAGTTTATAAAAGAGATTATCAAAGAAATCGCGATGCCGTGTTATTTTGTTCCTTCGCTATTTATGGTATCATGTTTTTTCCCACGCACTGTGATATCAGATCTCTGGCAGGTGTGAACTACGCACATTGAATTTGATTGGTTTGCTTCTACACAACTCCTGCACGCCTCCTTTACGCCCCTGAATAGAATTTCAAAAAATATACTTGCATTTTAAACCTTTTCCCAGCATTTGAATATTTTTTTTAGTCACCTTGACAGCCAGCTTAGCTAATTTCCTTTTTTCGTGAAGATTCCTAGGGGAAGTTTTTATTTTTTTTAGCTTTTTTGTGGGAGGTAAATAAAGTTTGGGATCAATTTCTATCTTCTCATTACGTCATACACGCGCCGGAGTAAATATCATTGCGTGGCGCAGAAAGGTTACACGAGGTTCTCTTCGGTGAAATTTGTACTATTTTCAGCTGGTTTGGTCGTGTTTCACAGAGCAGTTTGGGTCATATTTCTGCCTTCTTTAAATTGATCTCATGGCTGAGTCAAATAATGCCCAAAGTGCCGACGAAAACGGCATCAAAGTCGCCCAGCCTAGCGATATAGTTTTGGACTTGAACGAATCGAAAACGAAAGACGTTCGTATCGTTAACGGTTCTGTGCATTACACAGGCGAAGAAATAGCAGCCAACGGAGAAGTAAGTGGCAGTTCTGGCAAGGAAGTCCAGCAAAACAGCGACGGAATCGAGGGAAACATGAACGGTCATCAAAATGGCGACTCAAAGAGCCCGGTTGGGAATGAGGAAATTGTGAAACTCGCTCCTGCCGAGTCGACGTGGACGGTACAAGCAGAAGGTGCTGTGAAGCTGTTAAAGGGATCGACTGGAAGCAGAAGTTGTACCCCACTTACCGTCGTTCAGTGTGTCGAACGAGCTGTGCGTCATGCCCCGACCAGGACAGCCCTTGCAGTCAAGCGAAACGGCGAATGGCTGAAATGGACCTACGCTGAGTATTACGAATCTATACGAGCTGCGGCTAAGTCATTCATAAAGGTTCGTGAAATACTTCCCTTTATTGCTGTTGAATTTATAACATAATAACCGTCTTTCGAGAAGTGTTATTGTTGTACGAAACTTAAAAGCACCTAAGACTGAAAGTTGTATTGTCGAACAGCAACGCCATTGTTCTTGAGAAGATTGATTTTATTTATCTTCGTTCCATATGATTGGCAAAGGTGTTTGTCATATTTGATCGGAATAATCGTGGCATAAAAGTACAGGGATTATAGTTTTATTTCTTACGTAGTTCTGGCTAGCTAAGTTTCTTGGGAATTGTTTACCACGAGTAGGAGAATTTAATTAATCTGAGAATATTGTTTTGTTTGCACCTTGAAGGAATATTTTTTGTGAAATTATGTTTTGTTTAGAAAGCTTCGTGTTTATTGAGAAACCGTGCAATGCAGCAAGAGTTTAATCTTGTGAACTGTTAATTTGATTTTATTTCGGTGTATTTATGTTCTTGAGGAATTTGCTTCCTCTAATCTTGTATTTGCATGTATTAGATCTGTATTGGCCTGTTGAGGAGTGTAAAATTTACAAGTTTAGCTCATTTGGTGATCATTTAAAACAGTTATTCAACATATTGAAATTGGACTTTGTTTGGTGGTGCAAAGATGACAAAGACCTAGCAAAATAAAGAAAGAAATCGAAACCTTTCACATCACTGGTTTGTTGCGATCATAAAATATTGAAAAGTGGTTTAAATTACATGTGAAAAAAATTGTCTAGACTGCCTGCAAACGCAGGTTCTTTGACAAGGTTAATCGCGGCGAGTGATTTGTCTGCTTTCCGCCACAGTACTGAACTAAACTAGTATGTGGATTGAAGTTAGCATTGTCATTTTGATAAGTAGTAGTAAACATTCATCATATCTTTGAGTTACCCCTCATCTTTACCATTAAACTACGGATATTATCATAAGAAGGTATCTGCTACAATGTTCTTGTAGATTTGGTTAAAGCAACCAGAGTAACTTAGCAACTTGTTTATGTATTTCCATTTTTAACATTGTTTTCTGCAAAGAGCTGTATGCAATGATTTAAGTATAAGGTTATGAGGAAAGTATGGTGTAACAGACATAGGTTTGAAAGATGAAATGGATGGTAACACTAGTTTGTTATTTTTTTTATACTTCTTTAACTATGTTATGACACAACACTGTAAGTAATTGAATATCAAGTGTCTGAAAGGGAGAACTTTGCTGATGATTGATCTGTGCCATGGCTAGGGATGTTATGCCTGGTTTTTGAAACATGTTATGTAACTCCCTTGACCATGATAGGCAAAATTCCAGGTTTGATGTTCTGTACTTCTTAAAATTTATTTTCAATTCATTTACCAATAGCTTGGTTTGGAGCGTTTTCATGGAGTTGGGATCATTGGATTTAACTCTCCAGAGTGGCTTATCTCAGATTTGGGGGCCATTTTTGCAGGGTAAGAGTGTAATGACTCTAGTTGTCTTCTTGATATGGTAAATTGTTGTTGTAAGGAGAAATTCTATTTTGGTCACTTTTGGGAGTTTAAGGGTCAAACTTCAGATATGTTGTTGTGGGTGAAAATTGAAATGAAAAGAAAGCCCTGAGTTGCAATTTGTAGCAATTTACCAATAATAACATTTTTCATTTTCCATCTCTATCGACACATTTAACACAACAGCTGTACCTTCTCAAAACATTGTCTAGACAGGTTATCAAAATGCCTTGAAAGATTACCAACATGAAGAGGGTGTCATGGAAATGGCTGGAAAGTGACAAATATGTGACTAGCATTATAAATTTTTTATAGCATTATTATCTACAAGTAACCTAAGTGTATGCTTGGCAATAGAAAAGAAAAGTCACATATAAATACATTGTTTGAGTGCTGTCCTCACAAAAATATTCTTGAATAAATTTTCTGAGGAAAATAATAAATGTTTTCAAAGTCTTTAACCCCTAATGCCCTAACACCAGTATGCATATTCTTCATTTATAAACATTTACTAAGGTGTTGACAAGGAGAAAGAGCTTCTTTAGTTAATAATCATTTCTTCTTTTCGTGTGACCCTAATGTATGATGTGGGGAGGCTATTGTAAGGAGAAGTTAGATAATAGTCACTCTTATGGATCAAAGGGTTCAAACTTGAAGTGGACTCTATTTATTTTGAGCTTAATGGAGACCTCAAATAATTGTGTAGGGGGTATGGATTCTTGAATATTTCTTACATGTACATGTACCTACTACCTGTCTTGTAGTCATACTGACTACCAATGAGTTGTTAGCCAATTCACTTGATCCATCAATCGTCCCTGCAATTTTCTGAATATTACACTTTATAGATAATCCTTCAGCCAGTCCTGTTGTTAACCCTTTAACTCCAAGAAGTGATTAACATGTCATGTCTCCCTATAATGTCCGCAAGTTCTTCAGTAAATGGGTACAGAGAATACACAACCTTATCATTTAAAAGTTTTTGTCTTGATCTAACACCATAATTTCTTAATTAATTCACAAGGAAAGTAAAACAGCTTGAGGGAAGAGTTAACAATCAAATCTTGGGAGTGAAAGGGTTGATGTTATTCTCCAGCTTTATTTATTTATTTTTTTGCCTCTCATCCCCTTGAACCCTCCCCCATCATTTGTGCAGTCACTTGCAGGAATGTCTTTGAATACTCTGACAAGGGTTAATTATGCCCATATCATTTCAGAGTGTGCCTTTATAAACTATATTTTTGATTTCACAGAGGTCTAGCTGTTGGGATTTACGCCACAAATTCTCCTCAAGCATGCCATTATGTTGCTGAAAATTGTGAGGCTAATGTCATAGTTGTTGAGAATAAACATCAGCTGCACAAGATACTTCAGGTGTGTAAATTACTATGTAACTGGTTCACATTTAAAATGATGGACATACATGCTGGTAGCGGATGTTTTTATGGTATGTTAAGCTATACAGTTATATACGATATTATATATATCTCTTCTCACCAAAAGGTATGCCTATTTTTATATTAAGTAACAAAAAGAAAGAATGAAGGGGAAAAAAAACAAATAAATATATAACATTTTCTGTATCCTTCTGAAGTTCATCTCCTCTAGCTATTTGAAATGTGCATTAAGTATTCCAGTAATTTATTATCTTCTTTGCCCAAATTAGATCTGGGACAAACTTCCCCATCTGAAGGCTGTGGTTCAGTACATTGGTGAGATAGAAGGGGACAAGCCATCTAATGTGTACACAGTGAGTAAAATGTGTTTTGGTACTTCTGATTTAAATGTATAGTTCATTAAGGCTTAGATTATTAGATGACATAAATTATTATGGTTGTTAGTTCCTTATTTTATTTGAAATGGTGTGATTTATTTGCACTTTTCTTTTAAATTTCTAGTGGAAGGAATTCATGGAAGTTGGGAAAGGTGTTTCGGATGAAACCCTTCAAGAAAGAATGGATGAGTTGGTGGCAAACAAATGCTGCACACTTGTGTATACTGTAAGTTTTGATTTTTTACTTTTTCTTGACTCTCAAATGTCTTGCAAACTGTTTAGCTGGTAAATAAGACGGCAGGTTTTTTTAGGAACCATTGTCCTGCTTTGGCTACAAAGAGAAAAACAAGATAAGATTTTCTTTGTATGAACCTGTAGTGTGTCCTCAAGTCCTCAGTAGTTCAGAACTGAAGCACTGATCACTTGAAATCAACAGTCTGAGATTTGAACCTTCATGGGAACTTGTACCTTTTTTTGGTGTGTAAAGCCATGCATCAGAAATAACATCTTTCTTTACACTCTCCTGAGTTATTTATCTGTGGCTGGTATCATGTAATGCATTTCTGTTACTACTTGTACAGTCTGGAACCACTGGAAATCCCAAAGGTGTCATGCTGTCACATGATAATGTAAGTAACTGTTTTGGAACTTAATTTTGAACATTGTGTTCCTGTATTAGGAATAGGCTTTCATTTTTCCCTTCATTATGTACATCAGTTTAAAATTAAGGGGAAAATTTTCTGGAGTTACGAGAGGGTTTCTTTTAATGGGATTTGGCTGTCTTGTTTATATATGGTATGCTAAAAGGTAATGTGTTGAACAATGAAGTTACAGAATACAAGTCGTTGGCAAAGTTAATGGCACTATTGTGAGTCTCCTATATCAAATAGATAAAATAGAAAAAAAAGAGAGAAAGAAGAAAGAAGAGAAAAATGGAAGACATAAACTTCTATACTTTGTAGGGTTGTTTCTGTGTTGTCAGCATAGCAAAGTATGGTTTAGTTTTCCCAGACAGTAAGTTGAAGGGCTGTAAGAATGGTAAACTAGTTTGATGTGTTTGTGATGTTGAAATACAGTGTAATGACAGGATAAAAGTGGAGTTTACTGATCTGAAAGTACTCCAAGGTTTGGCGTATCTTTCCTGTGTACTATGATCTATTGTGGCTCCACTACATGCAGCTTGACTTTGTTCAATATTTTCTCTCAGTTAACTTGGACAGGAGAGGCAGCTTCAAAGTTTGTGGGTATCGGAGAGAAGGACATAGAACAAGTGATCAGTTACCTTCCACTCAGTCACATTGCTGCACAGGTATTTTATGGCCGAATTAATGAACTTAGATTGAACACTAATTTACAAATGTAGAATAGACTCCCTACAGCAAATGTCAACAACCACCTGCACTATTCAAAGGACTTACTCGGAACATTTACATGAAAAACAATTCAACCACTATGACCTAAGTTTTGTGGGAATCTAAATCATAACCAGCTTGTCCCACCTGAGTCTTGCAGCTAATTACATCGCTGCAAAACTGACCAATCAGCAAATTACATCACTGGAAGACTGACCAATCAGCCATGAACCAGGCCTTAAGAAAAACTTGACTGACGAACAACTCTTCACTTGACTTTGGCAATGACCTCTGCAAAGATTATTGAAATGTCAGTCATTACCACTGTCAACAGTCCTTCCCAGGACTTCTCTCACCCACCTGAACAAACTACATGTTGATTAGATTGAACAATAGATGAAAAAGGGTTGCAGGATTATTATCATGTTTTAGCAGGGTTTATTACAGGAAGACTCTCTATTAAAGAACAGTTAATTCTAGGTTCAAACCCCAAGACTGTACTTAAAACACTGGCAGTTAAAAGTGTCTGTCAGTTGTTCCAATAAATGTGAAATTCAACAGGTCAACAACCTCATAAAATAATAATATCTTATGAGATAAATAATATTCATAATTAATATTTTCAGATGTTGGATATTTTCATGCCACTTTATTCTGTTGCTACTGTGTGGTTTGCACAGCCAGATGCACTGAAGGTAAATGTTAATTTTACAGTATGGTGTTAGGAAAGAAAATACAACTTAAAATTGTCAATACAATGTGGAATTGTCCCAAGTATATATTCATTACTGAGTGAGGCAGTTAATTGTTGCTTGCACTTTGTTCTCTGAATGTTAATGAGTTTGTGTTGGCAAGAATCTTACTATGTCTTCTTCAGTCTCCAGACTGTGTAACATTTATTTATCATGTCAAAGACATGCAATATGTTCCTTCGCTTGAGAGTGTCTCTCTTTAGCAGTAGGAAATTGGGCTGGAAACTTCAATTATGAAAAAATTTTTGATAGGTGACTGGCTTCTTGTCTCACTGTCAACAATAGAGTTAAGGAATTTGTGATTTCAACTGAAAATCCATTGTTTGACAAAGCAAGCTTGATGGTTAATGCTACATTATGAGAGAAAGTGGAGAGCAACAGTCTGATTGATGTGATTGCATTTTAGCAAACCTGATTTACAGGAACTTGAATCTTCTGTGCTGTTCACTAGTTAATATTGATATGCGCCTTCTTGCATTGTAACAATGCTTTTGAATATGCAATTCTGCAGGGTACACTCTCACAGACCTTACGAGAAGTCAGGCCAACTTTGATATTTGGAGTCCCAAGGTTAGTCAGATAATTAAATCAATTAATGTGAAGTAGTGTTTGTAAAGATTCACTTTTTGATAGAACAGTGCGAGACACAGCTTAGTAGCCCCTAAATTGAATTCTTGAAATACTATTGGCCAGTTTGATATGGCTGAAAATCTTTTTGTGGGTGATAAGGTATGATACATGAAGATAAAAGTAGCCTAAATATTTTCTCCAACAGAGTGTATGAAAAGATCATGGAAAAAATGAAAGAAATTGGACAAACAGTGACAGGCTTGAAGAGGAAGGTGGCTAATTGGGCTAAGGGTGTAGCTTTGCAAGGAAACATGAACCTTGAAAATGGGTATGTATACATTTTATGTATGACCTTGATATCAAAACTTTGACAACATGTATGCTTGGGCTCACTCATAATAATATACATGTATTTACCACTAAGATATTTTAAGGAGGGTTTCCCTTTGGTTGTCACAAAGTATTATACATTAAGTGATTTAAAAGATTGACAATTTTTCTCCTTTACATTAATTTCTGTTGTAGGGATATGAATTGCAATACTTGCTGTGTGTGCATGTAACATTGATATTTATGGAAATTCAATATAACTTGAATCCCATAAGGATTACTACCACCAAAGAAAAACACATTTCATGAAGTGGCCACACAGTCAAAATTGTCATAAAAGGAAATCAAATAAAAGCTTTCTGATTGTTCTTTTGGGCACAGGAAATTACAGAAGTTATCTTACCAGTTGGTCAAGTATTGTCAGTGTTGTCAGACTGCAGGGTTGTTTTATTTTCAAATAGTAAATGAACTTTTGCTTTTTTTTTTCTTTTCAGTCAGTCAGTTCCATTTGGTTGGACTCTAGCCAATAACCTGGTACTGAAAAAGGTACTTCACATGATTGCCACTTTAAAAACTTTGCCACTTTTTGTTGAGCCCAGTTTGTATAGCGCTGACTTCATTTGTCGTATCCTATCATAACTGAAGATATGGAAATGATACAAGACATCCACTTGTAGGGAAGAAATACATTAAAGGAGATGAAAGAAAAAAACAGATGAACGAGGACGACAAAGGAGGGACAAGATTTACGTTAACATCTTCAAAAAAAAAACAAACAAGAAAAATTAGATTAAGTTTGTCTTAAAGATGCAGCTCGTTTTTCACTCACAAATAATTAATTGTCCTCGTTGAGTGACAAACGTTTGTTATGATTTTAGCCTGTTGAAATGATTGATTTTTCTCTGTCTTCTCATCACTCTTATGCTTTCAACTTATCAATATTTTAAGGGAAAAAAATCTCATTGTTCACTAATGGAAGTGAAAGGGATCCTCCAATCTCTCATTTTCTTTCTTCGTTAATCAGATCCGCCTAGCCCTGGGACTAGACAGGTGCAGACTGTGTGTAGTCGGTGCCGCTCCTGTTACTTTGGAAACCATTCGTTACTTTCAGAGTATTAACATTCCTCTGTTCGAGCTGTACGGAATGAGCGAGAGTACTGGTCCCGCAACCATATCTATCCCAGGCTGTGTCAAGGCTGGAAGCTGTGGTGTGGCTTTTGACGGAGTGGAGGTTAAAATCCACAATAAAGACGAGGAAGGAAACGGCGAGGTGAGCTTAAATACTATAGGCTGGACAGTCTTGAGTAAGCGACACCAACGCTCTCACACGCCTTTTACCAATTAATCAAAACTATGACAAAATTTGAGAAAGAAACTAGGAATCGGTTATACGTTTTCATGACAAAAACGACAGTTAACTCGGCGAATTGCGAGACAACAGCGCGCGCACTTGACGCGTTCTGTCCACTTGCTCAGGCATGAGGTTTTATCTGTTCCTCTCACTGTCCAATTACAGGTATGACGCGCACTCTGTCCTATTAGTGCTAATCGGGCCGGTGATAACCAATCGCGTTCGAGAATTTTGTTATAATTTTGATTACTGCTTATATAGTCGGGCCAATTATATGATGAGCTAGTTGAAAATTTATGCCATTACCGTCTGAGGTCGCGGCAAATGAAATCTTCTAGTTTATGTGTTGCAGGCTAAATTCCACAGGAAAATTTATTGCTAATAACAAAAAACAATTTTCTCAGCGAGTTTCATGATGTGAATGTTTCTTCCCTTACGTCTTCCTGTTTTCATCGTCAGGTGTGCCTCAGGGGACGTCATGTTTTCATGGGATACCTGAAGAACGAAGAGAAGACTCACGAAACCATGGATGAAGAAGGATGGCTTCACTCAGGAGATATCGGAAAAGTTGACAAGGTGGATGTTCTTCATTAAATCAAGAAACGATTGTCTATGTTGGAACGTTATGCACTCAAGGTTAATAGGGAGTAATATTACGTAAAGGAAGTGGGTATTTGTCTTGAAACTGCCGATCGTGAAGTCTCATTTTTTTGCATTATCACACTTCGGTAACTGATAGTCGTAAATGGACTCAGCTGTCAGATGAATTATGCACGTAGTGAAACTTGATGGTAAGGTAAACTGTGGTCTATGCCCTTTGTCGCCCGAACAGAATACTTTTAACTAAACGAAAGTTCACCTTCCATCATTTTAAAGGGGGAGGCGGTGGGGAGAGAGAGAGAGAGGGGATGCTATTTCTGCGATCTTTTCCCACACCTTTGTTTTCTGATGTCGACCCTCTTTATTTCAATTTAGGCTGGGCAACTGTACATTACTGGACGAATCAAAGGTAATTTATACTTCCTTCTGGGCTGAATTTTAATGAGTCCTTATTATTATTATTATTATTATTATTATTATTATTATTATTATTATCATCACTATTATCATTATTTTTATTTTTTATTATTATTATTATTATTATTATTATTATTATTACACTTGTCATTATCATTATTTTTATTATTATTAGTAAATACAGTATTAACATTACATCATGCACCTTGCTCGCGCTTTGCGTTTCACGCTTCTTCTCCTCCCCATTGAAAAATGGGAAAATAATGCCTGTGCTGCACGCCAGCGGAGGTTCCATTGTCTAAAAAAATTTGTTCCTCATTTTGTCTCCCACAGAGCTGATTATCACGGCTGGAGGTGAAAATATCCCACCAGTCCCAATCGAGGATGCTATCAAGGAGGAGGTTCCTCTGATCAGCAACGTCATGGTTATTGGAGACAAAAGGAAGTTTCTCTCTTGCTTATTAACGCTCAAGGTAAAGAGGTTGATTTTGATTGGATAATATAGTGGCACTCACCTTCCGAGTGCCATGAAAATCATTAATGGTATACATCCACAGCAAATGGACATTAATGATGCTAACGTTTAGAGCTCTTGTCGATTGCTTGTTACAAAACAAAAAGCCAAGGTAACGACAGTGACCAATAGAGCAGAGGAAAGATCCTACGGCGCCAGTGAAAAGTCATATTAGAAACAAGCAAATTGCCTAAGGGGTGGGAGAACGCTGGTCATCAAGTTGCGATTGGTTCGAGGCGTGCCAGTTTTCTTGACCAATCACCGAGCAAAGTAAAGCAAGACCAATGCAATCCCGAATTACAAAGAATATTAGGAAGAGTAAAGCGGCTTGAAAACTGAATTACTATTGCAGTAGAGAAGTGAAGTGGAAAAGAAGGGGACCGAAAAACCCTTTGCATAAGGA